GCCTAGAGAGGATAGACTGCATGTCTAATATCGCTTTTATTCTAAATGTCCATAGATATGTTAGTAAAACACGTTAAAGATGTCTGTGATCTAAATCATTGACAATTAGTTGAACCGCTCTAAATTTATGAAGAACTCTGACATTATCATGCTTTTTCGTATCATCATAGCACCTGGGTAACTCTCCAAGAGCGTCAAGTTTCATGTTTGATTTTTGATTCGTTTCTAGAATAATTAATGATTAGCCATACTTCAGCTAAAATTTACTGTAAGAAATTCCTTGAAGTACTAGGTTAGGAGAAACCTGTTTCTAAAGTTGTGATTATGAATGATCAACAGCCCTTATCATTTCTTACTCCTTTATAACGTAACCCGACTGCACGCTCTATGATCGTCTAGTTGAAGATAGYGCAAGCGATTTAACAAGCGGTTAACAAGCGATTTCAGCATGACATTCTYCTCAAAGAAAATGCTAATCCAGGTGTTTCTGGAATAACCAATTATTAACTGTGTTTCAACTTTGAGAAATACTTTCATGTACCAGCAAAATATCAAATTGTTTATAAGGGATGAATAAGTGCGGACAGCTGAAGGCCAGATCGAAGTAACTCTTACAACTCTTATCCCTGATCAGTTGACAGCAAATGCTCAGTACAAACAGTCCACTAGTGATGGATGTCAAACCACAACACTTCAAGGAAATGACCACAAATCCAAAGCTGAAAGACGCCTTGAATACAGGATCAAAGGACTTTGCAGGTATTGCAGTGAACCCAACACTAAGATTGCTGTAGCACACAAACATACAAACTGTGTCAGAGTGTTCAATTAATTATTAATAAAATTATTAGAATTATTAATAAAACAAAATAATTTCTCCAAAATGGAAAATGCTTTCTTGCATACATGATATCAGCCAGACACCAATGTCAGATTGCATGACAAGAAGTCATTACAATTGCGTGACTAGTTCCCGGAAATGATTTTCAACATCACGTGTTCTTCCAAGAAACCGCTAATCGAGTCGCTTCTTAATATCGAGAGAAGATTTTTATTAATTGAAACACAAAATGGAGTCATTTGTCGAGGATCTAAAGCTTCAAGTCCAGTGTTCTCTGTGTAAAGAGACAATGTTTGAACCTAAGTTGTTACAATGTTTTCATACATTCTGTAAGACTTGTATCAAGACTAATACACAACTTGATGGTCAAGTCAACATCTTCAAGTGTCCTCAGTGTGACTCATCAACCGAGCTCAAAGAACTCAACGACGTGGAAGACTTAGAGATCAGTCCCATACACTCAAGAATCTTGCAAGTCTTGTCATCTGTTGAAAACCAGAAAGTTTGCTTTGTTTCTGCCAGCCATAGCGATGCATTGTGGCAATGTCTTGACTGTGATCGCTCGTTCTGTGATGAATGTTCAACCAGTCATTCTATATTCACTAAAGACCACAAAGTTCTTGCGTTGTCTGAGTTAACAAATGAAGACATCAAGGCTATGCTTAACAAAGAAAGTCCTTGCAAAACACACGCCAACCAAGATGTTGAATGGCACTGTCGAGACTGCGACGAGCTGATCTGTGTGAAATGCTTGAGAGAAAACCATCACAATGACCACAAGATAACATCACTACAGGAGTTTATCACTGCTAAGAAAGATGTTCTGTCTAAGAATCTCCAAGAAATCGAAAAAATGGATATTGACGAGAAAGAAAAGAAACAACAAGAACAAATTGCACTTGATATCAAACGTGACGGAGAAAAAGCTCAAGAACAAGTCAAGAAACTAACCAAAAAGCTTGTGAAAAAAATAATTGATCACGAGCAAAAACTTTTGAATGGAATTCAGAAGAGCATAACGAAGGCTGACAGGAATTTACGCATAATACGTCACACTCCAGCAGCACAAGAGTACATCAAATACTTCATACAAAATGGAACAGCAAGTGAAATCATTGACCTCCGATCAGACGCAGAATGTTTGAAAACGTTCACCTACGACGCATTTGAAAAAGATTTTGGCGAAATGAAATTTCAACCCAATGAAGAACTTTGTGAACAAGTGGATACTGGTGTAGGACTTGTGCAATCATTCAAAAAAGTCGACGCAAACAACAGCTCATTAGCAGTCGAACCAAACTCCCTGAAATTGGGAAGAACATTTGAAGCTATGGGAAAAGGCAGTTTAACGGTGACACTTAGAACCTATAAAGGTGAACTTTGTGACCCGCAACTGGATGACGTTACAGTACACATCACTCCTGAAGATGACGTGACAACTGGAGAGAAAGAAGTGACTGCTGACGGCAAGATCAAAGTAATCTTCAGTCCACATGTTCCTGGTCAGTTGACAGCAGAGGTTCAAGTACATGGAAATCCAGTATCCAACAGTCCACTAGTGATGGATGTCAAACCACAACACATTAAGGAAATGACCACAAAGTCAAAGCTGAAAAACGCATTGAATACAGGATCAAAGGAATTTTCAGGTATTGCAGTAAATAAACCCAACACTAAGATTGCTGTAGCAGACTCGAAGAAAAACTGTGTCAGAGTGTTCAACATGGATGGGGATTTGCTACTGTCATATGGTAGTAAAGGCAGTGGAGGGCAGTTTAAGCATCCACAAGGTTTATCATTTCTCGATGACACAGATTTAGTCATAGCTGATTGTAATAATCATAGAATATGCATAGTGGACACAACGTCTGGTATGCTTGTTAGAACCTTTGGTTGTCAAGGCAACATGGATGGCCAGTTCAACGGCCCACGTGGAGTACATGTTGATGATGATTCTAACATCATTGTGTGTGATCRWGRYAATCATCGCGTTCAAGTGTTCACAAAGAATGGTGACTATCTATATCAGTTTACAATACCAGGAGAAGACAACCCATATGATGTAGTTAAACACAATGGACTGTTTTACGTCAGTATTGAAGAGTCAGTGGTACACGTGATTGAGATGAAAGACAACCAGTCACAAACTACAGTAAACACTATTGGTGGGGAGGACTACACAGATGGTCGGCTGCACGATTCTCTTGGTCTAGCTATTGACATTGACAACAGTCTTCTGGTGTGTGATTTTAAATCTATGAAAGTTTTTAAGTTTACATTAGATGGTCGCTATGTTGGAGAGACAAATGAGCTCAATTTTCAGCCTCACTACATAGCAGTGAATGACGGACAGATTATTTGTAGCTCATATTACACTGGTGCTGTACGTTTTTATATTTAGCTTCAAAGGTATAATCTCAGATTAGCATTTTTTGCTTCGCAATAGCCAATAATAACAAAAAGATATGATATTTTGCTGAATCATCATTTATCATACAGAAATTTAAAATTTAACAAAACTTATATTTCGGTAATCTTTACTATGTTATTGGAACTAAAATACAATAAACCAATCATCACTAATCTTCTGTTGTACTCACCCAGTCATCTCAACTACTTCACCCACGGCACCGTGTGTCCTCCTTCTCTTCAGTATAGGAATTTTCTGCAATGAACCTGAGAATACAATTGTCAATTAACAAATGATGTCAGGAATTAATATATCTCATATCTAAATTTTGTAGCCAAGTTTGACAGATATCATTCTTGTTGTTGATTCTAGCTAACAAAGGTAATTTTGAAGGCCTATCTACTTTTATTCGCGAAAACATTTGCGATCATTCTTTTTTTGTATGCCGAGATTGGCTTTCTGATTTGCTCAAAAACTATCCTACAAGCACGCGTGATGATGATCCTTTGCAAAGAAAAAAAAAACATTTGAAAAAAAAATGAATAAAAGTTAAAACTGAAATTGAAATTGACTATACTAGATCGTCCATTAGCTCTTCAATTTTGCCGTGTTCGTTTTCATTGGGAATAAAGCCAAAACGTCCTCGGATCCATACATGATGCGACCCTTCATTCAAACAACGATGCAGTGTCTCTTTAAGGAAGACAATCTGAATACCCAACTTTCGATATTCTGGTTGAATGGTCACGTACAAAAGAATTGAAGACGAGGCTCCGAGGAAACAAAAGAATTATCCAGAATATCGAGAGTAGACTATCTGGTCGGACAGCTATAGAGTGGTTTCCTCATAAGATCAAGGTATACCTACTATATCGAACAATACAAGGGTGTTCCCGGGAAGAAAAGCGGGGAAGGGGATTTGGTGGATTTGGTGTAGAGCTCAAAATATAATGAATGGAAATATGCTCTATTCATATTAATAAACTTAATTCAAATCTGAATGGGAATTACTCTGAAAACTTAACAACTAAAGCAGCAACATTGTGAATGAAACTCCATTTTCCACAGCCCCATTTCTGTATTATCAATTTTATATCTATTCAAATATTTCCTTTTGATCACCGTCGCCATTCGTACTACAACTGCATGTGCTGTAACCATTCTTTAAATAAAGCTATGAATGAATGAATAATTCACAAACAAAAACTGGAAAGGAAAGAATTGCACCGAAAATGCGCCACTTCCAGCATAAAATTACTTCAAAAAGCAGCAGTTTCAGCGGATTTTTAGGCACACTGTTGACCTCGTTAGTCTATCACTTCGGCTTTTTCTCTAATCATCCTGAATTAATTTTCTATAGCTTGATAAAGCTTGATAAAGTCATGGATTTAGGGCTTAAATGCGATTTGTAATTACCGTAGATGCCAAAGATCAAAGGCATGATCACCTAATGCGGGATAATAGTTATACTTAAATATCTCGGAGCGATTATTGTAAAATAATTTATTTACAAGGTTTAAGATAGATCCAGACTTCTGTCCTTCTAAATGATTGTTCTTATATGATATTTTTACTAGGAATGGGATTGTGAACTGAGATATATTCTATCTCTGCCCTAATATAGCTAATGCTTGCCCAGCCTTAACCTGTCCAAGTTCACCAAAAATAGCCATTGAGTTGAGTGTTTTGCAAGCCTTCCCCGTGAAAGCGTCATTATAATTCTCTTTCGAGCAACGAGCACGGGCGGCGCCACTTTGTCAGCAATGAATTCCAGTTTAAATTTGTTTTATTTATTTTATCAGCTTCCATGTTTCGGCTTTCTGACTTTTTGCCAGGCTTAAACCAAGAAACACAAATTCAAACCCTGCAATTAAACAACAAAAAAGGGTGTGGCTCGCAAGAACTTGGTGCGTAGGGTAACACCTTAAAAAATCGCACAGATCATACACGTTTCGGTTTTGTCGTTTATTCGTTAACGACAGGTGAGACAGTTGAGTAACCCTTTTCTGAATTTCTCGATAAAAATAAAATATATGATTGGGTTGAAAAGCGGATTGGCGTAGCCAAGGAATCGGACCACGAAGATCAAGATATTCCAGATATTCCAACATATGTTCTGCCGGTCGCTTGGCTCCCAGACGTGGTAGACCAGAAATACAAGTGCGTTTAGCGGCATCCAACACACCGCAAATACGACGATTGTAGTCAGAGCCATGAACACAACGCGCCGTGTTTTCTGCAACCGCATAAGGCGCTCTTTTTTCGATTGAGTCATCGCCGTTGCGGAGCGGTCCTGTTGCCTCAGTTTCAGTAAAATCATCGTGTACAATATTATCAACACGAAGAATGGAAGAATGATGAAGAAAACAACTATCAGAGTGTACAATATCTTATGGATTTTCAAATCTTCAACGGGATCTTCACTAAAGCGAGAAAGACAAAACGTTTGGTCATTGTGCTCTANATGCTACATCATAGCTATAACATGATGTCAATATTCGTCAATCGCTGTTAAAATATGACTTCATTGTTTTGGAGTATACACAATCCAAGCAATACAAAAGGCAATATACAAAACGTAAGTCGACGCCAAACCCATCATGATGTACTTTACAAAGAACTGACCTGAACAAGTCGTAATACTTCCTTGGACGCTCCCTCCAGGTACCGCAAAAACTCGATTCTAAAACCAACAATATTGCGTAAGAATAATGATGAACTAATAATCATGAACTAACTTGAAAATGCAATATTTCAGTATGYCAGCAAATTATGCAGGTGAGTACCACCCATCACCATAAAAGGAAAAGTCCAGCGACGGCAAAGCACGATGGGAGATAATGTTATCCTTTGAGTTTGTTATTTACGCTAAAATCAATCCCCTAAATTAAATACATGTTTGTATTTTACGCCATGTTCGTTTATCTTTGCAGAAAATCGCAAAATTACTTTTATCTTTAGGGAAAAAAAGAACGGATACAGACTTTGTTGAGCATTTTAACGGTTATCAAAAAGCGTGCGCATTATACATACCATCATGCTTTGCGCGATAATTAAAATGCCGTCGCTGGTACTGCCTTAGGTCAACTAAGGGACCGCACGATATTTATCAGGAGGAGGGGGTTGAGAATCCAGAGGTAGGGAGAGGGGGGAGGGGGGGCAAAATCTAATTCTATAAATACTTTTCAACACAGGCCTCGAAGATGTGCACGAAGGGAAATTTTTGTGAGTCCATTCAATCTTACGAGTCACAAGCTTTTCTTAATACCACAATGTATAATTCAATTTTAGGAATTGCTTGTTCTGGTTAAACAGTTCTCACTGGTGGAAGTTACCATAAATATTACAAGCAATCTTTTGTTTAAAATCAAAACAACAGAACTTCAAGTCGGTGTGGTTCAAAAGGTCGTTTTCACCCAGACGATACCAAATCCGATCCACAAACAGTCACGATGACAGCGTGATTAGTACCCGGAAAAGAATATTTTTGGTCAGGATGTGTTCTTGCAGACACTGCTGATCGAGTCCTCGCTTCTACAAGAAATACGTTTTACTGAAAGTAAAGAAATTGCAGCTAAATGGAGTCGTTCCTCGAGGATCTAAAACGTCAGGTCCATTGCTCTTTGTGCAATGACAGAATGATCAAACCTAAGTTGYTAAAATGCTTCCATACATTCTGTAAATATTGCATCAAGACATATGCAAACTTTAAATGTCCTCAGTGTACCTCGTTGACCGAGATACAAGAACTCAACGACGTGGAAGACTTACAGACCAGCCCCATACACTCAAGAATCTTGCAAGTCTTGTCAGTTATTGAGAACCAGAAGATTTGCTCGGTTTCTGCCAGCCATAGTGATGCATTGTGGCAATGTCTCGACTGTGATCGCTCGTTGTGTGACGAATGTCGGCGATATCATACTGAATTCACTAAAGATCACAAAGTYGTTKCATTGTCTGAGATGACAAAGAAAGACATTGARGCTATGCTGAAAAAAGAAAGTCCTTGCAAAACACACGCTAGTCAAGATGTTGAATTGTACTGTMGAKACTGCGAYGAACTGATATGTTTCTTTTGCTCGTTTGATGACMAACACAAAAAACACAWCGTGACATCACTRCATGAGTTCATCGCTGCCAAGAAAGATTATCTRTCTGAAAACCTTMAAGAAATCCAGAAAATRGATACTGACGAGAAAGAAAAGAAACAACAAGAAGAAATTGCACTCGACATYAAACGKGAMGGAGAACAAGCTCAAGAACAAGTCAAGAAACTAACAAAAAAACTTGTGAAAAAACTGATTGATGACGAGCAAAAACTTTTGAATGGAATTCAGAAGAGCATAACGAAGGCCGACAGAAATTTACGCATAATACATCACACTCCAKCAGCACAAGAGTACATCAAATACTTCATACAAAATGGAACAGCAAGTGAAATCATTGACCTCCGATCAGACACAGAATTTAAGAAAAGAAAAGAATGGGAAATGATGATATTTCAATCAAATGAAGAACTTTTTGAACTGGACAATGGTGTAGGACTGATGCGACCATTCAAAATGGCTGACCCACGTAAAAGTTCTGTTGAAGTGATTGGGCCAAATAACTTTGAAGCCATGACGAAGGCAACCTTGTCTGTGATAATGCTTCTGCGCCCTTATGAAGACGACCCTTTTGACACGTCGCTAGATGACGTAACGATACACATCACTCCTGATGACRACGTAAAAATAGGAGAGAAACGAGTGACAGCTGACGGTCACATTCAAGTAACCTTCACTCCACTTTTTCCTGGTCAGTTGACAGCAGAGGTTCAAGTACATGGAAATCCTGTATCCAACAGTCCACTAGTGATTGATGTCAAACCACAACATATCAAGGAAATGATGTCAAAGCTGAAAAACGCCTTGAATACTGGATCAAAGGACTTTGCAGGTATTGCAGTGAATAGGTCGAACACTAAGATTGCTGTCACAGACTGGAAGGAAAATTGTGTCAGAGTGTTCAACATGGATGGGGATTTGTTGCTGTCGTATTATGGTGCAGTCAGTGGACGAGTGAAGTTAAAGAATGCATGTGGTTTGGCATTCCTCGACGAAACAGATTTAGTCATAAGCTATTCTAATGATGAAAGAATGGGCATATTAAATACAACCTCTGGGAGGCTGACTCGAACGTTTGGTTTTTATGTTTATGACAACCTGGATTTCCAGTTTGCTTATCCCAACGGAGTCTATGTTGATGATCATTCTAACATCATTGTCTGTGATCGCAGTAATCATCGCGTCCAAGTGTTCACAAATAAAGGTGACTGTCTATATCGGTTTACAATACCAGGAGAAGACAAAGCATATGATGTAGTTAAACACAATGGACTGTTCTACGTCAGTGCTGGATCAGTGGTACACGTGATTGAGATGAAAGACAACCAGTCACMAACTACAGTAAACACTATTGGTGGGGAGGACTACACAGATGGTCGGYTACATGACSCTACTGGTCTRGCTATTGACATTRACAAYAATCTTCTGGTGTGTGATTGTGAATCAAATCAAGTYTACAAGTTTACATTGAATGGTCGTTTTGTGGGAAAGACAARYAAACTAGATTACAAACCTAACTTTATAACAGTACTTAATGATGGACAAATTATTTGTAGCTCATATGGCCCTGATGGTGTACGTTTTCTTAGATAGCTTTCTTGAAGCTGTAATCTTATTAGATCCAGCTTAAAATTTCTCAGAAAACAGTGTTTCCTTAACAAAGTGCGCACGGTTTAAGTTGCATGTCCTTTTATTGACACACTTTTGAAATCACAAAATTTTAAAACTCAGTTAGGCCCACGAGCACAGCGAGATAAAACAAAAGAAAATAACTTATTTTTACCACATTTTAGGACGTCGAAAATTTGTGAAAATAATTTTTTCAGCTGATTCATTGGTTGAGATTCGACCACGTGTAGCAAATTAGAAGCATCTTTTGGCTATTGTTTTGAGTGCTTATGATTGGACAAGATCTTTTAATACAGAAGAAACTTTGTTTCAACGTTTATCAATATATTATTTTAAAAATGTGTTACCCATAGGTTAATATATAATCAGAGTGTGGAAACCAAGAAATTCGTATGTGGGGAAGTTGCAAYTGCCGCCGAACAATAGAGAGWTGCCTACAATTCTTACGCGCATTGTTGCTTAACAGACATAGTATGTTGTACTCACCCAGTATTCTCTGCTAGTTCACCCATGGCATTACACGTRTCCTCTTTCTCTTCAAGGTAGGAATTTTCAACACTGTACCTAAAAGTTGCATAAAAAGTGATAAGTCTTGTATCAAATACTTTACTATCTCACATAAATTTTATTTCAGAGGTCGAGAAAGATAAAGAAGACAAAATGCGCGCTTTCTTCATATAAGGGACTGTGCAATATTTATCAGGAGGGAGGAAATGAGCCAAAAAATCAAAAAAGTTAATTACTCCCTCCCCCCTCCCCTCACAAAAGAAATAAGTAACGCTCCCTCCCGTGAATTTATTTAATTGTTATTCGTAAATGAAGAATTGTCGCAAATCGTGTCACGCTTTTCTTGGGGAGTTTTCACTTCAATAGGTGTTGATTTTTCGGTTTCCAATTAAAGTTCTAGTTAATTCTAGACGTTGTCCCCTCTCTTTAAACACAGAAAATTAGATTTTGCCCCCCCCCCTCTAGATTCTCATCCCCCTTCCTGATAAGTGTATTATTATTCATTGGTATGAGGGCAAACGTACAAAGTAACAAATTCAAGGTAAAATGTAGATATTTAGTCTTTGAGATACACACAAAAAATAAGCAGACTACCATTGTTTTAAACTGTGAATCGAAAAGAAGTACTGAGTTGGTAGTCGGGACTCAATTTTCGACTCTTGTCGCATGTAAGGTTAYAAGACTCAAAACAAATGTTTTAGATTGGTGTCATTTAGAAATTTTCAACTTGCAAGCATTGGAAAACACAAAGACAAAAAATTTTTACCAAAATCCTCCACAGCGTTTGTCTTTTATTCCATTTTGAGAACCATCTTAGATTAATCAATCATTTGTTATTATTTATTAACAGATAAGCAATAATAACATAYATGCTATTATTGCTTATCTGCTAAAGGCACTGCATTTATCATTTTACCCTGTAATGTCTTCATCATCGCCTTCGACTTCTTCATCTAATTCTTCGTCTTCCAATAAGAATGATGGATCGTCATCAGTAGCATAGTGCGTCTTAAATACAAAAATAAAATGCATCACACAGCGCAATGTTCTCAGTGAAACATGATAACAGTATCAGAACTGAACAGTGTAACATAKYTTTSTCGCAATTTGTTTGGTTTGGCTCTGGTTTACTTTTCAGGACTCGAAATAGAGTTCGGACATACACAGGACAAGAAGCCCTTTCAAATAAAGTTGTATTATTTAATGAATTTAAAATTACACTGGACAATGTGTATTACTCCAGCGAATTGATGTTGTTGCACAGTAGTACATCATGGGGCAAGCTGTAGGCAAGACGATTTCAATTGCAGACTGTACAAGTAACTGCACAAATAATCAATAAAATTTCGGCAATAATTCAATCAATTTATCATCAATCAACCAAGCAGCCAAGACGCAAGCCATTCACATATTGTTAAGGTACAAACTCACCACTATCCCCTCCGTAGACTGCAGCGA